ATAATGCTTAAAATAAAATACATATTTTTACGTTAAATGAAAAATGAAAAAAGAAAAAACAGCTTTTCATAAATATAAATATTGATTGCAGAATCATGAGATTAACATTGTAAAGAAAAAAATAATATATATTAATAGTAATGGGAGATCTATGCTGTTACCAAATTATAGTTAATATTTTTATATTTCATAAATTTTTATGTAAAAGTAATGATAATTAATGTTGACAGTATAATATTTATAATGTTAGATAACGAAATAGTTTAAATTGCTATGGTTTATATGAGTAGAACTGCGGTAAGTGTTATAATTGTGTTAAAATTTAGTTTTGACATACATGATATATCATTGTTAATAACCAATCGTGATGGTATTACAGAAGACGTCACTTGTCAAACCTTCAAATTTAAGGTTTAACTGCTTATTAGACTCAAAAATTACGGACGAATTCAAATATATTAAAAAAAAAAAAAAATCGGTTATATTATTCAACTTTCGTAAGAAAAATCGTAGAATATAAATTGTTATGTTAGTTATTATTTATAATAGATTTTTTTAATCCTGCATGTTCAACAAATTGCATCGTATTTGAGGATGATGAAAGTGACGAGGATGTTGACGTCGTAGTTGAATCATCATCAAAATAAAATGTTCTTGAGGCTCTGAACCTGTTAAGGAAAGCTATTCATCATTGAGGTATTCATTTTAATAAAAACAAAACGAGTACGAGCAATATATTTTCGAAATTAATTGTTTAAAAAACAAATTAAAATCACAATTTTTTTTAATAAATAATTTAAATAGTAATATATTATAATAATATAAATGTATTTATGCATTTAATTAATAATAAAATATTTAATTTATATTACGCATTATGTAACATCTAATATTTAGTAAAAGAAAAAGAGCAAAATAAAGTTAATAATTAATTCAAATTTTTATTTGTTTTTTTTACTTTACCTCTAAAATTAATTCGGTTATATGATTCACTTTATACTGATCCCAAAATGAGTCTTAAAAGTGACATACAATTTATAAAATGATTAAATAGTTCCCTGGTATTTCGATAAAAAATAAAAATATTCATTTATTATCGGTGTGTTATCTAATTACGAAGTGAATTATTAATACAAACCTATTATATTTTGACTCGATATACATTATATATTTTTTGATATGTTTATGAAATACGACTATATCATGCTTTAATTAATCGGATACGAACATCTTTGTCACTAATTTTATCAAATAACTAATAAAAGTTTCTAGAACAAGTCAAATTAGAGGTGCTTCGTTTCTACGTCTCGTATCGAACCACTTGCGCCCACGGCCAGTCTTACAATAATATTGTTATCAAAATCGTTGGTTCACGGACGCTCAGCATGTGCTGATTGCCTACGCGAATACTTTGAAGGTCAATGTTATAGAACCGTTTTGGTTGATTATTCCTTTACAATGAGTGCACGAATAAAATGTATTAGGTTTTTATTTTTTAGCAGTTAATAAATCGTACAAATTGATAGTTAATAAACCTAAAAAATTCACACTTTACATATATATTTTTTTTAAAATCGTTTTTCGAACATGGTGATTGTACGCTATATCATTGTTAACAAATGTTTTACAATAAATACGACTAACACGACGAACGATAAAAGGACCTACGTAGGTATATTCAAACAATTGGTTCTATAATGTATATTTTAAGAAGTTTTTTTAATGTTCAACTGTATGTCTAGATCTTAATTAGACCTAAAATGGTTTCGAAAATAAAAAAATCGTATAGCAGAATTTTTAACGATGACATTCGGTTGATCATTATTGCAATTAATTAATTAATATTATTTTTTTATGGCATATTCAAAATATTCACTGAACGCTAATAAGCAAACTATATTAAAATAAGTGAGTATAACTATACAAACATTAACTATTTTATTTTATTAAAAACCGAAAAAATAATTAATTGTTCATGATTATAATAAGATGGTGGGAAAGGAAAAGATAAGGGTCGAGTGAAATAAGGCGGCTGTGTCTAATTTCACAGACATCGGTTCGAACCTATCATCTAGTGGTTTCGCTTTCCGAGCAGATTGACTGTCTCGAGAGAAGGAACTACTACTGAGCTTTTAACTTATTTGATTAATTGTTGTCAACAAATAATTGTCAAGGTATAAACAGTTTGTTAAGTGATATCCTTATAAGTTATAAAAAAAAAAATATATAAAAATAAGAAGATTATTATCAACGGCTTGTAAGAGGTATACTAAAGACAATATCAACATAAAATATCAATGGACGTTGAAACAAATTCAATCACTGTTTAGACGTTTTGACGTCAATTAATCTGCAATGGACATCTGGAGATGGCGTGACGTTAAACGGTAATGATAAATCGCTTGCAGGTGTTGAAATTATACACGGAACATCATGTCATGCATAGGCGCGCACACAGGTGTGGTTTATTGTTGTGTTACAGCGATATTTGAGATTTATTGTTATAAAATAATATATATATATTTTTTTTAGTAGCTACTAAAAAAATTATGATAGTAATATATTTGATTTTTATCTTTATACCATCTTGCATGCATATTTGCATATTTTATTACGGACAAAATATTTTCATAAAATATTATTTGTATTTCTTTAGAATAATCAGGAAACATGTTAATATTTAATAGCGGAAATCAATGGATAATTATTACTCATTTATCAAAATATCAACGTTTGGCATTTATATATCAACGCACCTTTTTAGCTTAATTATTATTTTTAAAGCTGGTACCGAATTGGTTCCCGAGCTCCAACCCCACGTATCGAATTGGTTCCCGTCTGAAAAAGGTATTTTATTAGGTGTAGCTGAATTGTTTCCCGTTTGAAAAAGGTATTTTATTAGGTATAACCGAATTGGTTCCCATTTAATTATGCACATTTTGCTTCTCAATTTTACAGGCTTAGAACTGTCAACTTTAAAGTAGGCTCGGTTAATAATGTGCGTTAATGCATGTTAAAAAAAAAATGATAAAATATATACAATTTTAAATCGTTGATTTGGAAGTCAACTATTCATTTCTAAGATGTACGATATACAAATAATAAAATATAATAAATACAATTTAAAACCACTGATTTACAAATTTGAAGCTAACTTTCTTTAAATAATCAACTCTTGTAATCTTCTTATTAATGTACTCAGTCATACAATTTTCCAAGTATTTGTTATTTCTTTCCTGTTTGCTAGTTATTTGTTAGTCTCTAGTAATCTATAGTCTATTATATTTCTATACTCTATCTTATCGATATAATAATTGTGTTTATATGTCATACACATTGCTTTTAAAATTTTGTTTTTTGCTCTCTTTGTACTGGCTTGTTGAATTTTAATTTTTAATAGTAAAGGTAAGAAAGAACATTTACTGTAGACTAATCTACGGATTGAATACTAAAGAAGTGAAGGTAAATTGTGTTAAAAATTAAAATTGTTACTATTTTATCTGTACAGAAATGGGAACAGTTTTTCGGCTATACCTAATAAAATACCTTTTTTTAACGGGAACCAATTCGGCTATACCTAATAAAATACCTTTTTCAAACGAGAACCAATTCGGCCAAGTGGGAACTAATTTGGTTACTCCTATTTTTAACTTGTGTTCAATATTTTAACTTCTTTAATAGAAGACGGCGCTATGTATAGGCAATTTAAAGGTAAATATCACATTTCGGACTAATTTAATGACACTAGCATTTATTAAGGAACATTATATAGACAATTTATATAATTATTTTGTGATTGTGTTAGTAATCGTTAATTCATAATGATTATTAATGTTAGTAAGTCAATTTAGATGATTCCCGTACGACGCGCGACGTCGCAACCACGAAAACACAATAATATAAGATAATTACTTTAAAAGGCAAATAAAAAAAAATAAATAAATAAATAAATACGTTGTTTATTACCGATTAGAACACAATTGGAATCATCAAACATTATTATATATTATCTACTGTGTAATATAATAGTTTTTATTTTGGTTGTCTGATAATCATAATATTACTTGACACTAAAAAACGACGCGTATTTAATTATACTTATTTTTGACAAATATAACAGTATAAATGTAATTTATTTGTAATTTAAAATAGCATTTTTTTTCATACAACTTATTCAACTTATTCAACTTAATCAATTGTTAGTTTAATATTCCTACAGAATCTGGTTATCTTGTCGTATGCGCTCTACCGTTTTTACCACTCTAATAATAAGTAATATAAGTAATTATTATTCTTATTACACCATACATACATGCCTGCCATAATAAAATACAGAATTCTGTGATTCCATAAATAATTAGATTATTATCTATTGTAGTCACATGATTTTACTATTTTAGAATATAGATAGGGATAATAATTTAATTGTTTATGTTTAATAGATACATTTAGGAAAATTACAATTTTGCACCCGTTTACTATATAAATATTTTATAGATAGTTACAAAATAGTAATTTTTGTAATATTTGGTATAATATAAAAACAAAAGCTGGTTTCCTTGGTTCTTGAAAATAATATTATAGATACATATTTAATTAATGTATTACATTAATTTCAGTGATTTTCTGGTAGTGCAAAGATATGTTTTTGCATTATCACATTTTAAATGTGGTAGTGCAAATGCCACATTTGCTCCACTCTGTTTACGCCACTGGGTTTTGTTCAGAATACTTATTAGAGTTAAGAGAAAATAGAGTTGGTTTTACGACTTAAGAAGGTGTAAAACGATATTGTAATAATTTTGAAAATTATTGAAAAGTATTGGGACAAAAAGGTATTACGAGAAATTCATATAGGACAATAATCAATATAAATTAAATACTTACATAATATTTAATATTTTACATATAAACGTTTCTATAACCATACAGTTATATTTTAATATTAACAAATTAAAATTATAATAATAAATATTTTTATCACACATCATCATTCATGATACTAAATAATTATGTAGTAAAATACATACATAGTACATATATATATATTAATCAATTAATATAATTGTGTTAATATCCTGATGAGTTACCATGCCGACGGAAATCTGGCATAGCTTCAATAATTCCTTCGGGAGATTTGTAAATAGCTGATGATGCTGAACCACCCGAATTTCCATTATCCTTCAATCTGACTACTCGATGACCAATATTTTTTAGTTTTTGTACTACATCCTAAAAAACCAAACACGGACAGTTTCTTGTAATATATATTATGTATAAACATAATATATTATAATGTATGTTTGTCTTACTGCAGTCGTTCCATATTCATATACCACTTTCATGGGTATAAGTTGATGGTAAAATCTAGGATGGTCGATTATTTGTTTGAGTGTTTGGTGACGCCATATCTTAAGTGCAGATATCTGAAAATAATAATAATTATTATTATTAAATATATTTATACTAGATAAAAGGAATTAAATATTTTTTTTTTTTTTTTTGATTAAATTTGACTATGGAATTCGTTTAACCTATAAATATTATAGGTATTTTGTAGGTATCATATTACAATCAAAACATTATTAGAATGTAGAATCTATGTAGACAAATATTTACTAATTGTTTTACAATCAATGTGCTAAAATCATGGTTTAAAATATACTTAAGGAATATTTTAAACCGTGGTTAAAATAATGTTGATAGATTAGATACTAGAGAGCTTATCAGATAGTATCCATAAATAATCTGTACACACGAAATCATATCTTTAGTTATAAAATAATTTTAGATATATTATTCACTAATAATCTAACATACATAAGATGAAACTAAATTAACTTCATGTTTAGTTTAATAGAACACCAGCTTATTAAACAAGTACATGATGTATTTAGTATGTAAAACACTATCTTAAAATATGATTATTTACATCTAATAATAAAGAAAAACTTACATATGCAGTGGCAATAGTGATTTTTGAACCTCCTGCTGCTCCTGCAGCAAGAACAAATTCACCATTCTCATTCGTAAATATTGATGGACACATCGACGATTGTGGTCGTTTCCCTGGTTTAATGAAGTTGGATGGCGAAGAAGGTATTCCATAATGATTGGTGATTCCAGGAGTAGAGAAATCGTTCATTTCGTTATTTAAAATCATACCGGTACTAGGAGACATGAAGCCAGAACCAAAACTAAAAAGAAACAAAATGATTATTAAATAAGTGAATAAGTAAATAATTTATCTTAAAACTTACTGTGTATTTATTGTATTAGTAGATACAACAGCATTTCCTATCGAATCAATAACAGCCATGTTGGCAGTTCCATGATTGTTTGGCATATAAAAATCAGCTCCATAATCATTAGGATTAGATGAAGTGTAGTTATCAGATATTTTACTTCGTATACTGTTTATGTAACTATCTGAATTAACTTTATTGTAAATCTAAAATATAAAACGTATACATCAAATATTAATGTGTTAACGGTGTTTTCTGTAGAACACATACACTGGATACATTAACAAATTTATGATCACCCAAATGGGTCCTTTCGCCATATCCAAATTTGAAAGCTTCTATAAACCGATGTGCTTCTAAGCCAGGGTTTGGTGCTGGTATTAAACCATCCAATATTCGAAGCATATAGGCTAATATTATACCAGAACCCGGTGGTGGTCCAACATGCAGCGTAAGCCCATTCTTCAGTTTAACGGGAAAACTTTCTTCTATCTCAACCCTGAAGTCATAAAGAATATTTTTGTTTCTTTGTATATGAATGAGTTAATTAGACAGTTCGGTACCCACTACCAACCCGGACACACATGTGCTTATCTCGCACCGTTATCACTACTGTTGAAATAAATTACACATGAAATTCGCGTTATTAACATACGTAACATAGGTACTTAATATATTTAAACTACATTATGCCACACATCCGGTCCGCCTAAAATGGCGCCACCCCGATCACCATATATGACTAAATTAAAATAGTGTTTATCCTCGACTTCTAGCTCTTTACAAAATAAAGGAAAAAAATTAAATCATTTAGTTTATCAAATCGCTACGTTGCACTATCCAAGGCAGACAGATAAATTGAGACCGAAGTATTCCTACCCATTATCAACGTAATTGGGTGTGAACAACTACCTCAAATTAAAATCACACCTAAGAACACTCGAATACTAGCAATTTATGTAAAGAACATTGCCAACTTCTCAATATTCAATTTGAAACTAGTATTGCTCACAGGTATTAACAATTTTTCGTGTAATTTCACACCATCATTTCAAGTAGTCTGGCCTAAAAGCCATATAACCTACAATATATTAATTGATTACTTAAGCAATATAGATAATTTTACTCCTATCGGCTACCTCATACGCCAATTTAAGGTAGTATTTAGAAATTTCCATCATTCTATAATATTATCTGATATTTCAGATGCTCTGGCTGAACTAGGAAACTCGGTCATGCGCATGATTAATATCAAAAAGAATCATTTACTCTTATCGATTTCCTACTTAGAACTTACTTTTGATGAAAATAACCAAGAAATATTTAATATAAATACACTTCTCCATTCTGCTGTAGGCATCAAAAAGCCACACGCAAAACGAAATAGCCCGTCCAAATGCCACACATGTCAAGTATATGGTATGCGCAAAATTACTGCACTCAACAACCTAAATTAATGTGGCGAAGATAATTTATAATATAATATAATTAATAATAAATATACTAAAGATAGTATATAGATAGATAGCTTCCCAGATAGATGTGCACTATGAACTGGTGTACATATAGCATCATATAAAAGTTGTGCAAAATACATAAAATTGATAAATAAACCAAAAAAGGTAGAACTTCAAACTCAACACGTCTTAACAAGTCATTATGTATCCAATACAACCTCGTACGGTCTATAATATTCCAGCATAACAGCTGAAAACCCAACATCCAATTTTTCTGATTCAATGTTAAAAATGTTGATTGAATTCAAAATTCTATTAAGCCCTTTAATCTTTCTTCTTACTGTTATTTTAAAAACTTTCCCATAATTTTAAATAATTTCAATATCAAGTAATAAATTAATAAATGTCAAATGCTGTATTATATTAAATGTTAAACAACTTGTAAGAGCATTAATTTGCTGAAACATTTTAAATTAAATAAATATAAAAATAAGAGTAATTTAGACATGTCATGGCACTAGTAAAACCAAAGTTATATCGGAATACATAAATACCTAAACATTTAGAGTTTAAAAGAAAGTATTTTCAAAATCTTTGGAAATAAAAATTCTGTAGATGTGTAAATATGGGAGATGATATTTTGCGCCAATTTTATTACTTGTAATTTGCGTCACCAATAGGTACATTTAAGCGTGTATATAATTGCGCCAAAATATAAAAATTAAATATGTATTTTGTACCACATCTAAAAATTAATTTTGGTAATTTGCGCCACAACAAAAAACGAAATGGAGCATGTAATGCGCCACAATTTCAACTTTAATTGTTGGAATTTACCAGCAGATAAATTTACCGATAACACATCAGAAATGTGATAATACCAACGCATGCCGGATATATCATTGTTGTGTTCTACTAATAGTAACAAGTTGAGGCAAAATCGAATAGGAACGTCTAATATAATAAAAATTATCAACTGTCATAATATCGAATAATATTGAACAGCAGTATATTGATATTTACAATTAGTCCGATATTAATCGTGTGTGCGTTCGTATTTCATATTTCACACATCATAACGAAATATGTATAACGCCCATAGAAAAATGGTGCCACCATTACCAAAAACAATGGAAGAATTGCAAAAGGTTATAAACAATTTGGATTTGAAAACGAACCTCGATGAGCAATTTTTATTAATCCAAACTGTCATATAATATTTTCATGTGACACAAATTTAAAAGTTCTATGCCAATCTGAAATTATATACATGGATGGAACTTTTGAATAGTGTGCCTAGTTATTTACTCAATTGTTTTATTTACATAGTTTATGCAATGATCATTATATACCACTTTTATTTGCATTATATCCAGACAAAAAAAAATCAACCTACGTCAATTTATTTAAAAATATCATACATTTGTGTAATGGACGTGAACTTTATCTAAAATCAAATTTATTTATATCTGATCTTGAAGAATTAATTAATTTAGCATTGAGACAAGTGTGGGATGATACTAAAATATTTGGTTGTAGAATTCATCTAACTTAATCGTGGTATAGAAAAATTCAGTAATTAGGCCTATCAAATGTATATCAAAATAATAAAATAGAAGACAGCAAGTGGCTAAATCATACATTTGAGTTGCCATTTATTTCTCCAAATAAGGTCAGTGATTGTTTTATTGAAGATTTTATGTCATCGATTCCTAATGACATAAAATTTAAAAAATATGCTGATTATTTAATTGACACATATATCAGTGAAGAAACTAAATTTCCACCAATAATTTGGGCTGCGAATATCGCGTCACTGGCTCTCACTACAAAGCCTCCGAATCATATCATTCACATTTCAATTCCGAGTTCAATCAACCATATCCATAGGCGAAACTACGAGTCAGGCCAGTCTCAATTTGGTTTTAGACCAAAACATTCTACTATCCATCAAACTCACAGGTTGATAGATGAAATATCATCTTCCTTCGAAATGAAGCAATTTTGTCCTGGTGTTTTCTTGGATATAGCGCAAGCTTTCGATCAAGTGTGACATGTAGGCCTACTATACAAACTCAAACTTTTTCTACCCGCACCATATTATCTAATTATTCGCTCATATCTCGAAAACTGCTCCTACAAAGTCCGATGCGGAAGCTTATACTCATCACAGTTTTGCATTAAAGCTGGTGTGCTCCAAGGCAGCAACCTCTCTCCCGATCTATTCAATATTTATACGGCCGAAATACCAATTACAATAAACACCACCATGGCTACTTACGCAGACGACACTGCAATACTTTGTGCTAATATTAACCCTGACGAAACACCAAACTGTCTCCAAATACATTTAGATTCTATCGACAACTGGGCAACCACGTGGCGAATAAAAATAAATCCAAACAAATCTGTTTATGTGCCATTCACTTTAAAAAGAACAGAACCTCCACCTGTTCACTTTCAAGGTACTCAAATTCCATCATCTTCTAAAGTCAAATATCTTGGAATTATGCTTGATAAAAGATTAACTTGGGGCCCACACCTTAAACAAAAAAGAAAAAACCTCAACTACCGCCTTCACCTACTTCGTCCGATTTTAAAGTCAAAATTACAAATACACACCAAGCATATTATATATAAATCTCTCTTACGACCGATATGGTCATATGCAATCTAAATTTGGGACTGTGCTAAGTCGTCCCAAATCTGCACCCTACAAACATTCCAGTCCATCACCCTCCGTATGATAACGTCTGCACCTTGGTATGTATCCAACTCCTCACTACACTCTGACCTAAAAATCGAGTCAGTTGACCAATTAGCCATCTAACACTACAGATCTTTCTAATCCAAACTACCTTCCCATCCTCACCTATTAGTATTGCAAATCTCATCCACTCAACCCATAAATTCCATCCATAGGCTCAAAAGAAAATATTGCTGAGATTTGTTAATCTAAAATAAATTTACGTTGGGTTCCATCACTGGTTGGCCTCACTCTTCATATTATTCAAAGTTATAATAATGTAAATAAATTATCTAATTTATTTATTGTGCTGTCAGACGCAGATTGTAAATATCCAATAATAAAAAAAAAAAAAAAAAAAAATGATAATAACGAAAAAAAAAAATAAGATGACAAATGGCGTAAATTACATTTTTTGTAGGTACACAATGGCACAGATTACTTAATGCCCTTTTATTTAGTTTTGTGTGACGCAAATTATAACTTTAAAAAGTGACGCAAATTACCAAAATTAATTTTTAGATGTGGCGCAAATTACATGTATATTTTTGGTGAGGGAGGAGGGTGGTTTTTGGCGCAAATTACATACACCCGTAAATATTAAACGAATGAAAATTTATGTAATTAAATAATCTACCCACTTGTAGTTAGCAAAGTCTTCTTCTGTTATAATACCATTGACATTTTTCAAATCTTTTACTAGACCAGATGTTAGTGATCCATTGTAAATTGCATCAGCACCTTCTTTTGCAACGGTTCTCAGAGTTTTTGCTAATTCCGGTAATTTATAAATTTCCCCCATTTTCTTTCCATGTCCGGTTTCTTCATCAATAAATGTTTTCCTATAAAAAATAAAATGTCATTTATTTAGGCTGAATCCTACAACCTTTTCTTTTAAGTATTAGTTTTAATTAATTTTGTTTAAAATTGTATTTATGTTTTTCTATTAAGATTTGAATATTGGCGTACTTAGATCTGATTTTTTTCTATGAAGGGGGGGGGGGTGTTAATTTTTATACAAACAATTTGGTGATCCTGAATCAAATAAGAGAAATCGTAAACTTTAATAGATTATTTTTAATATATTAATGAATAAAAAAAATGAAATAATGCTAACGCATACTACTCGTAGTTCCGTTCATCACTTTGTTTGATGGGTGATATACAATAATATGTAAATATGCTAATATGTATTAGAAATATATATTATATTTATAATATAACATTGTATTGTTATATATTAGAAATACTTATTTGCACAAGCTAAGTGCCGTGGTAAGACTATAACGATTACAGATTAAAATATAAATTAGATAATGTACAACTATATTGACCAAATATATATATTTCATAAGAAACTAATTCTTCCCTAAAATATCGGGGGGAGGGGCTTATTCTCCTTCTCCCCCGGTTGGAACGCCACGGGATTTAGATGATTAGAATTAATTTAAATATAATTGTTATTTTATTTTTTATTCAAAGTATATTTTAAACAACTTTGGGTAAACAAAAATAAGTTAAATAAGTAGACTAAAACGAAACTCATTGGTCATTATACCTGAGCATTGGATCACGTTTAATCATTGCTTCGTCAGTTTCCAAAGTAAGTTCTAGATGTTCACTGATTTTTATACCCTCTTCACATAATTTTATGGTCGGCTCGAATAACGATTCCCACGAAACCCCGCCACCGAAAGCTTTATATATAGTTTCATAGCCTTTAAATGCACCTGGAATTGCAACTGCCAACCCTCCTGTATGCAGAGTTGGACAAAAACCAATCAAAATAAAGAATAAAAAATAAAAGCGTGAATAACTAATTTATTTATGAATAAAGAATAATTGTGGTGTACTGAATAAAGAATAAAATTATTCTGCATAGTTTTATTCGTGAATAAAACAATTATTCAGAATAAATTTATTCGTTAAAATCATGAATGATATTAAATATTAAAGTAAATTAAATTTATTTTTGTCAATTATTATATGTATTAATATGTATTACCTTTATAATATAAAGGTAATACATATTAATAGTATAATATTACATATTACAATAGTACATATTAATAGTATTAATAATATAATAAGTCTATTATTATTATACATCGTTATTTAGGATTTAAATATATTATTTATATGATTATAGGGAATGACGAATAACGAATAATGAATAACGAATAACTGAATAATGAATAACGAATTATAATAAAAATTAAAATAATAAATAAAAATAAAAATCAATAATAAAATTAAGAACAAATCAATGAATAATAATTTTTTATTCAAATAATCAATCGAATAATATTTTATTCGACTAATGCCCAACTCTGCCTGTGTGTAATTATTTGTATTTCATTAACAGCAATATATTTCAGATAATGGAAATTTCTACATAATTGGGAATACATCGCTGGTAAAATATAGTTTAAATCAGGACTTAAATTAAAATTATTATTATTATTATTATTTTTCCGTTATGGAACATTTAAACGTTATAAGCAATTGAGTGTTTAATGTTATAAATAATTTAATCGTTATTCAATTTAAGCGTTTAAACGTTTAAAAAAAATTTCCGTTTACCGTTATTGACAGTTAAAATGTTATGAACAATTTAACGTTTTATGTTTAGCATTTTACGTTATTTAAATTAGTGTAAAATTTGAAACGTTTTCAAATTTAGTATTTAGCAATCACTACTATGTAAAATAACATATGTTTTAAATATTATATTATATATATATATATATATATATATATTACCTTCAACCAGTAGTGTATTGGTAAATATATTTGTGAGTATACGCATTAAAAAAATATGGATATTAATCATAAAATAAATTTTCTTGCTTCGCTCGACAATTTTTTTCTTTCGATACGTTCGAAAAAATTTAATTAATCCTTTGTAACTACATATTTATAACTTCTTTTAAGATTATAAAATATAACACCACAAGATATACATCTGCAGCGCGTTATAAATTACATGATGCAAATTTAAGAACCATGGGCTGAATGTCCACACTCCATACTATTTTATTCAATGTTATTCACTAGTTAACAAAATACATTAAACACAGCGTACACTGTAATCTTTAACAGATAAATATTTCAATCAATTTCATAGTTCATAACAATTTTTTTCAATGAACTATTAAATTATTATTATTTTTTTTTGTTTTCGAGTTATTTTAGAAGCGTATACCCGTAAAATAATATTTTACATTAGGTATATGCTAGGGTGGACCATACGTCCCGTTTAAAACGAGATTGTTCCTTTTTTTATCGACAAACTTTGAACGGGACGCTTTTTGTCTCGTTTTTAGAATAGGGTCCCGTTTTAATCCCGTTACTTTCATAAAAATTGTAAACAGAGAGTAAAAAAAATAAGACATGTCATATAGTGTATATATATGTACTACGAACTTGTGTACTAGACTTCCAACGAAATCGATATTAAATACGAATACTTTACCAATATACAGTACTATTTATAATCAACGATATTCGGTATAATAGGTATATTAGGTATATCAATTGAAAAACCCAACATAGTTGTGCAGTAACCTGTGTACATTGCAACGATTCTGTGTTATTAATAGCCACTGTGTATGAGTTCTTTTTATTTAAATTATTGTGAGTCGTTAGTATCATTTTTTACTGTCAGAGGATGTAATGAAGAAAATTATGAACAATCAACATCAACTCAATCGGATACAAGGAAGAAACCTCTACATGGTGTACCCGAGGCAACAATGAAATATTACCTACCTAAGTACTATTTTATTGGCAAATTCTTCCAACCATAGGCAGCGAAACTGAGTGGAATCAAAAAGATTAACAAACAAGAACCCAAAACGGTTAATAACCAAACTAGCTCTAATAACGATTTCGATTAATATCGAAGGAATATCACCTAATAAAGAAGATATATTGGCACAATTATGTAAGGAAACTTCATGTGACATATTATGTATTCAAGAAACGCATAGGAACAACGAATAGAGAACACCCAAGATAAATGGAATGAGGTTGGCAGCAATAAGACCTCATATAAAATACGGCAGCGCAATCTTTACTAAACCCTCAATAGACATTATATCCTCAAAAATGACGGAAATAGATGATATTGAAGTCATAACGATCGACCTAGGAAAATGTGCAGTCACATCTGTGTACAAGCCGCCAAACTCCCCATTCAAATTCCATAAACCAAAAAATTTTGCTGCACGTAATGTAAGAATTATCTTCGGAGATTTCAACTGTCACAGCACAAGCTGGGAATACAACGAAACAAACAATGACGATCATGCCCTGGAAACTTGGGCTGTATCTGAAGAACTTAGCTTAATCCACGATCACAAGCTCCCACCATCGGGGAAACGGGGATACAGCCCTGACATAATCTTTGTGAGTGAAGCTATAAGTATACAATGCTTCAAAAAGATGTGTGAACCTATACCGAGTACTCAGCATAGGCCTATCAAATGTGACATTTCAGCAGCTATCAAACCGAACTTCGTACCGTTCAAAAGAAGATTTAATTTCAGGAAAGCTGACTGGACAGCTTTCGCTAAAGAGTTAGACGAAAAAATCGGTTGCATAGCTCCTACGTCAGACAACTATGACCAATTTGTCGAAATAGTAATGATGTTTTAAGAAAAATTATACCCAAAAGATGCCGAATACGACATGTACCAGGCTATCACCAGAAGCAGTTGAACAAATTGACTGCTATATAGGAGAATACAACAAAGATTCATTTAGTGCACAAACAATAGAGGAGGGAATGAAGATCCTCAATGCTGTTGCAGAAACAAGAAGAAAGAGATGTGTGAAACCCTAGAGAATGTTGACATGCGACACGACAGTAGAAAAGTATGGGGATTGCTTAGACGCTTAGGGAAGATCCCACGTAGATAACCGACACTACCTAGAGTAACTCCAAACCAAATCGCACATATATTACTCCTAAATAGCAAACCACCTAGGACAAATCGTAAAATACAGAAAAAGAGAATAGTACGTGAATCATGTAAAGAAACAGACTACCTATCCAAACAGTTTAACTCGTTTGAACTACAAAAGGCTATAGATGCAATGAAAAACTTCAAGGCTGCCGGACCCGATGATATATGTACAGAACAACTCCGGAACCTAGGACCAGGGGCTAGAAAATGGGTAATAAATCTGTTTAACTACATAAATATTGTACAAAAAAATCCCAAAGATATGGAGAAAATCAAAAAATAATCGCTCAACTGAAACGTGGTAAAGACCCAAAGAACTACCGACCAATCTCACTACTGTGTCACACCTATAAGATAAATGAGGAAATGCTGCTCAACCGACTCATGCCAGTAGTGGACAAAGAATTAATCTTGGAACAATCTAGTTTCAGACCAGGAAAATCCTATTCCAGCCAAATACTGAATCTAACCCAATACATCGAAAATGATTTCGAAAATAAACAAATTACGGGCGTGGTGTTCATAGACCTGTCGGCAGCATATGACACTGTAAACTATAACATTATGTTAACCAAACTATATGAAATAACATATGACTATAACTTCGTAAAAATAATTGAAGCTCTACTTAGTAACCGCCGGTTCTTTGTTACCTTAGACGGAAAAAATAGTCGGTGGAGAAACTTAAAAAACGGCCTCCCACAGGGAAGTGTACTTGCGCCGACACTCTTCAATATATATACGAACGATCAACCAATTTCAAAGATACAAATATCAAACACTATATATACGCAGATGACTCAGCAATCGCAGTACAAGACAACACCTTCGAGACCATTGAGAGGAAACTATCAGACACACTTGCCAAAATGGATGAATATTTTGAAGCAAACACTTTACGTTCACTTTACGTTACGTCCCAATTCATTGAAAACAGAAGTCTGTGCATTTCACCTCAGAAAAAGGAAGTTAACCGAAAACTTCACGTAACCTGGAAAGGTGTAGAGCTAGTAAAAAACCCGAACCCTTAATATCTAGGTGTAGTTTTAGACAGATCACTAACATATAAAGTGCACTGCGAAAAAACGAAAATGAAAATCAATATGAGGAATGGATTATTGTGTAAACTGGTCGGATCTGCATGGGGTACCGAACCGCACGCATTGAGAGTAACAACCTTAGCACTTTGTTTTTCAACCGGTGATTTCGCAAGCCAAGTGTGGGAAAGGTCTGCACACACAAAAAAAATAGACACAGCCCTGAATGAGACATGTCGACTCATCATAGGATGCCTAAAAAATACTCCAGTAAATAAACTGTATACCCTATCTGGTAAAGCCCCACCTGAAATTCGACGGTCCGTATAAGCCGACTGGGAGCGAACAAAAGTGACGAATGATGAGCAGCACATAATGCATGGACTGCAGGAAGGCAAATACCGACTTAAATCTAGAAATAGTTTTATGAAAAGGACAAGATGAATCACGAGAAATCCCAAAAATGAGAGAGTCGAGAGATGGAAGAAAGAAATGGGAGACGAAACAACATGGATAATGTCAACGGAAAACCTCCCACCCGGATACACCAATAGCTGGATAATATGGAGAAGCCTAAACCGACTACGAACAAAAGTAGAATGCTGTAAAGCCAATCTGAAAAAATGGGGCTATCTAGAAGAACCATCGACGCTATGTGAGTGCGGCGAGGAACAAACAATGGATCACCTACTGGTATACTGTGAGTGCCAAATTACCTGCAGTGAAAAGGACCTTGTGGTTGCAAACCAAAAGGCAATAGACATGGCCAAGTACTGGTCAAACAGTTTTTGAGAAATTTTGATAGCGGAAACTCAAAATACCAAAGAAGTTACCAATAACTGATCTATTTACTACACTATAGTCTGTGTATACCTATAATATTATAGTTTTACTTTATTTTTATTTTACTTGTTTTATCTTACCTATTTTTAAATGTTTATTGTGAGTTCTATATTATGTTAATCTATTGTAATTTATTCTAGTGTATAATGCAGTCTAACATAATATAAATAAATAAATCAACTCAATAAAAATGAAGAATATTTTAAGTAATTTTTTTCAGTCTCACAGTAAAAAAAGAATGCAAATCAATGTTTTATTAAAATATTAAACTAATTAAAAATTATTTTTATTGCATATAATATAAAAGTTAAAAAAAAAAATGTGGTCTTTTTTTTTTAGAGAAAATATTTATCCCGTTTTTTTTTCATAAATATGGTCACCCTAGTATACGCCGAAAATCGAAAATCTGCTGATGGGTACACGCCGTATACCTGCTTATACGTACCAATACCAATAATATTTTCTTTTTATAATTCTCATAACTCATACCTAAAGAGCGGATTTAATTGATATTGCAACTTTTTATTTATACCCAGTAAATCAAATCTGATAAATTATGTATACGAATCAGATTAATTAGTCTTCCTATTTAATTTAATAATACAATTTTATGCAATTTTCAACAATTTTGCAATTTTTTGCAATTATTGCAGTTTTTGTATACTTCGCGGGATAAAATATACAAATTACTAATTCTAAAGTGATTTTACAAAAAAAAATATAACTACGACATAAATTTTTACTTGTAGTTAAATGTAGTTTAAGATTTTTAAGATTATATTTATCTGAGTTATCCATAAAACTCACAAGTTTAAAAGAATCAAATAGTCAATTCTTAATAGTTTAAATATATTTAGTATAAATACAAAATAAATAAATTAATAAATAAATAAATACTAAACAAATACTAACTACATAAAAATATTTACTATAAATATTTCTATAAATATTCTCGATCCCAATAGAGAAATAGTTAAAGATAAATTAAAATATGTCTTAGAAAAAATGAAGGAATAAATAAAAAGTAAATAAACATTAAATATTTTTATAACTATTAAAACTTACTCTGAGATTATGAAAGGAAATCAATATATTTGATATGATTTTACTATGTAATGTTAATGTATTTCATTGCAATTTCAACATATTTATACTGCAATTTTGGGATCCGCGCCGACAACATCCAATGTAATTTCAGAAACCATATTTATAAATTATAATTGGTAATGCTTATTTATATTTTATTAGTTGATAAATTTATTGCTGTTTTAACATCCTTTTTTATTTATTTTATTTAGATTACCTAGTAATTTAAGTCAATTTTACAAAAATAACTATGGTCCAAATCTATTTTATTGATAGTTATAAATATTTTCCACGGCAATTTCTTTTATGTTTCAGTCGCTCATCGTTTTCTGTTATGTTATTCGATATTAATTTTAATCGTTTTTTGTTTCTGTTTCCTTGTCCGTTTTCAACCGTATATCGTTTACCGATATCCCTTTTTTATCCGTTATCCCTTTTCATCGTTTATCGTTTACCGATATGTTATCTTTTATCGATTTCAATTGTTTTTTGAAAAGTTTAACGATATAATTATAACGATATAAAATCGTTTTGGTGCCCTGGTTTAAATTGATTCGTAGTTATTAGAATTACTAGTATAATAATTTACCACACATGATAAATGGATGGAAAAATGGACAGCAACTTTTAAATATGTTTTTAAATTACTACATTAATAAGTGAAAATAACTTAATACCCGTTAAATATTTATAAGAATTATCACTTGGTTAAATTTTGGAATCTTCCATTTAAAAAAATTATATCATTTACTTGATGAAAAATTCATAATGTACCATCAAATGTAAGTTTTTGTCGGAAATTGATAAAAATACCCGAAATTCACTCATTTAAGTGTTAGACTATTTCTTTTAATATTTTCCAATTAAAATCATAATTAGTATTAATTATCCGTATTGAATCGAAAATCATTTTTAGTTGTAGTGTAATGTAATATAAGAAATAACAATTTTTTTTTAAATTTTTTTTGTTTTTCCGTGAACTTTAGTGCTTACCGTTTATAGAACTTTCAGGATTCCTTACAAACATGGTTGGAGTTGCTGCAGCTGGAGCCATTTCACGTGAATTTATTGCCATCACCTTTTTGGTAGTGGCATTGTAGATACTCATAATAAAGCCGCCACCGGTACCCATTTGATGTGGACATAGTGCACCGTCACATACTATAGTAGCAATAGCGGCGTCTACGGCATTTCCACCTTTTGTCATCACATCCCTTTTCAAAAAAAATTATTATATATATTTAAATTGACTTAGAAGCATTTTTAAGTCCTATGGTTAAATGAGAATAAAAATAATTGTAAGATATGGATGTCTATAAAATCAAAATTCTGAAAATATGACCAATCAACTATTTTGAATAGTAAGTACATAAAGATTACTAAAAAAAATATTTTTAGTGTAAAAAAGAAAATAACTTATTTTATTTAAAGTGAAAAACTATAAATAGTTTTCAGTTTACGCCCATTATAAGAAGTTACAAAACTTTACCTATTGATTAGTAACTCATCTATCATTTTTGTTTTGATATTTTGCGAACTTGACCTAATGGTAGGTAGGCTTATCGAATTATTATATTGTATAACAGAGATGGGTATCTGACGGCCCGCGAGCTGCATCCAGCCTGCGTATTTTTTTTTATCGGGTGCGAGTTACATTTTAGAGGTAATCAGTATCTAATTTTTTCACGTTGATCGTAAAATGTAGATATTATATTTTTTTCTAGCATTCTCTCCAAGTAAATCATTAAATGTCTAAGTATAATTTGTATCCATATTGGCATACCTAACTTTTTTGTATGTACTCGTATTATGCACTTATTTCGTTCTATTGGTTCAGTTGTAATATTAAATCAATTAAAATAAATGTTAACTGTCAATTTTAATGTTGAATTTTATTTTCTTTACTAGGGTCCACCAAATTTTAAATTTCTAAAAATTGGCTCTCTAGTTACTTTGAATTGCTATATATCTGTTCTATAACTAAAAAAAAAAAAATGAAACGTTTATTACACTCCGATCTGTGCACATGGTCCTCCATTTGATACTACAGCGACCTTGCTATATAAGCCCATAGGCAAGTATGACGGCGGCAATGGAAACTCCGGATCGGGAAGCTGGTGTTCTACGAAATATTCTGAATATACTTCAAAGAATAATGCAGCTACGGCGATAAATATTATTAGACCTCCAAAGAAATAGCAATATTTTGATCGAAGTCTGAAAAAAAAAATTGGTTTTTCATTGACAATTAAATGATTATCAAACAAATATGTAATTCAGTCTTCATGGCATCAATAATTAAACTCAATATTTATAAAATTTTAAATCTTTTTACTACACTTTTTAAGGAGGTTGAAGCACTACCTTGTACCACGTAAATGGTAATTTATCTTAGACTTTCATTTTCGTTTATAAATGAGAATTATTGTAAAAATAGTGGAAAAATGTTAACAACAATTTTCGCGTAATATAGAAGAGACCCTGCTTATTGTAAAAGTTGTCTAATTATATTTTAACAATATATTTAAATTACAATTGTGTTGATAAATAATTCATTATAGAAAAATATATTGTTTTGACTAATATTTTTTGGATTATGATATATTATGTTACCAGTAATAATTATCAAAATTAAAAAAAAAATTTTTCATCACAATATTATATTATATGTAAAGATATTTTACAATATACACTATTGATTTATTAATTTATATTGCTTGGATAGTGAAAAATTCAAGAAATATAATTTGTAGAATCAATATGGACACAGGATTGTCGTGCTATCTAAAATCGTTAATAAAAATGTTTTAATACCAACAAAAGCAGGTTAATTTGATAAGCATTTTTTTTCTAATAGAACACGGTAAAATTAAAAGAACGAAAAATTATATACTAATTATAATTGTTAAAATATAACATTAGATACTTATCATAACCTCAATCAAGCAAGATCAAAAATATACACAGATAGAAAAATCAAATATTATTTTAGCGAGTTTCGTAGGTGAAACATGCTATTAACAAGCAATGAGGTCAATCTCGAATTTATCAGAAAATACTATAGAGATAGGTAAAGCCAATTAATTTAGAATTCATCACATTATTTTTATACTTAAATATAAAATGATTTTAGCGATTTAATAATTGGATGATCTTTGATTCGTATGGAATGCAAACGTTTTGAAGATAATTAAAAGAAAAATGAATAACTTAGCCACATCCAACATGAGTAAGTAACGATTCAAATGGTTTTGTAGTAGTGTGTAGTATTCTCTTAACAATGTATGTATGTAGTAATTTAATAGCGAACGTATGTCTAATTTAAATAAAGCACATTTATTAAATTATTCTAACACGATTGACAATCATGGTTTTGGCAGTGAAATTATCATATATTTCGTTTATTGAGGCACTTAGTAAACGTATCAGTATAACAACTGACCATACACCATAAACATGATCTTTTAATAACAGAGATCAAAGCTGTTCGTATATAACGGAAGTTATTGTACTTCAAATGCGATTACAGCTAAAAATATAAAATGTAAGTTCATACGTGCTATACAGTTTTTTAAATATGTTTATGATCACAAATCATAGCATTATTTTTTAACTAATCAATGACAAAAAATTATATTCGTTGGTGAATTAATTTTGAAGTTATGTAAAAAAAGACTGAATTAATTTAAGTTTAAGGTATAGAAATTAATCAACAGATATCTGTGATAACAGATAACTAATTTTAAGTAAAATTAGCAGTTATCACTTATCAACAATCAAAGTATATGTGTTATATAAGGTAGTAGATATATTTATCTGAATGTGAAATGATAAAATATTAATAAAATATAGTAGAATTATTATACTTGTTAATACATTGGCCATAAAACTTAAATTCATCGATTATAGAAAATCAAATATTGGTTGTTAATCGAAAAAAAATTAATTTACGTTGTTCTTAGTGAAATCAATTAAATTGATAAAGCATAAAAAACAAAAATTGTTCAAATCTAAACTAGCTATATTTTAGAAAAAAATTGTAATCATATTCAAGAAAATCGAATCAATCATATATCATACTATAATAACACAAACAACTTATATACATATAGTATATTACATCATTTATGAAAATTAACCCTCGAGTTAAGTGGATTAATAATGGTTGTTTGACATTAATTTCAAAATAAACTATATACCTACTGAATATCACATACTTATAGCAACTAATCAGGCCAATTAAACTAATTATGTTGATTTAACATTTATGTAAATTTAATACAAGAAATATTATTTTTAATAAATATAGAATCAATTAAAACTTTACAAGATATATTATGAAAATATAGATAATGAATTAATTAAATCGAACATTAAATGTAAAAACATATTTATAAAAATAATTAACTTATTAATTAATTTACATCCATATTAACAACTATGATATAAGATACAAGTATACAATATATTTAATTGTAATGCATTTAAATAATGCGTATAATACTGTTAAGGTGAACTGTTAACTGACAGTAATTATATTATAATTAGTATTCCTGGACTTTTGTTTGTATTTTTATTAAATATAATTGTACATTAATTGTATTAGACACCTCAGATACCCTTGACAGCTATATGTTTTGATGGAAATAATAATACTTATTTTTATAATTATCAGTGTTATACTACTGTCTTAATGGATCGTATATTAGCTAAATAGCACTTATACTTTGCACTGTTTAGAAGACATGTAATTAATGTAAAAACGAACCAAAGTATACCTACTCTCATGGAGTTTTATTTGAGTCAGACCAAATAAAGTACTCGGAGACCAAAGCTGCTTATAATGAAAGTATTTTGTGTATCATATGTTTATTGATATAAAATCAATAAATAAATACGTCAAAATAATTTAAAAAAATTAATTTCCTCTAAAGTGTATGCTACAGTGATATATTTATAATCTACTATATCAATTCAAAAGACTTCATAACCAACAAAACTCATTTTTCGATTAAGTTATGTGTTTTTGAAAAAAAAACAACAATGTTCACAATTTGAAATAAATATTACAAAACATTTTTTCAAAAGAGTTGTAGTTTTGACTATTTTATATTGTAGTTAAATTTTACATAAAAATATATCAAATTTTAATTTCTCATTCTAACGCTGATTAGAATTTATCGTAAAAAATCGTGAAAATTGTACTAGTTATTAATTATTTTCAGATATTAAATTAACACAGTTTATACAAAAATCTTTTTTTTCGAAAATCCTTTCATCAATAAATTAATTCATATATTATTTATTCAAAAATGTATAACTTATTTACCATTGGTTTAATATTAAATTAATTTGAATCGATATTTTTGATATAATATTTTTATTTAAAGAATACATTTAATGTACTTTTTGCTATTACAAAATTAAAAAAAAATTATAAAATAAAAAAGCATTTAAAATTCCATGTATCTAGTATAAAAACAATATTTTTTTAATTTCACATAAAATGACAAAAATAATGATGGTTGTTTATTAAAAAAAAAAAAAAAAAATCGATTATATGTTAGATATAATTATTGTTTTACCGCTAATTATAATTTGTTTCATAATGTGCCTATGAATTCAATATAAAACTGCGTATAATTTATCGATGTTTAATAATTATGATTTTAATCATTGGTTTTGATAGAATATTGAATTTTTACAGGAATAAATATAAAAACTATTCAAATAATTTTTGAGACAGAGGAAATAAAAAAAAACCACAAGGGTTAGAAAGATTTTTAGGGTAACTTTATTACGCAAGAATCTTGAGCATTTCATCTCAATTACAAAAAGATTAGATGTGCGACTAGGTATAATATTAAAAATATGTCGAACTATACGTTATACTAGATTCAGTATTTTATTTTGAATTTAAATTGTTAGCAATTTAGCATAAAGAATGCAGAAGAAAATAATTGAAAAATTTACATAAAACAGAGTTATAACAATATATTTTTTGATAAGATATATTATTGAAATATTATTGCAGAAAAAAAATTCAAAATTTTGATATTTAGATCAGATATAATTTGATGATAAAATGATAGAAAATAATTTAATATTTTTTTCAATGTACTTTTTTATAATAAATTATTAATTAGTAAGACTAGATTAGTCAACACCTGTGATTTGTTCCTGTCCTTTAATTGATAATAATTACGTAAAATGATTCACGTGATTTTCCCACTTTTTAAACCATGATCTATTTTAATACTTTTTTTACATTTTTTAATTCGTCTTGAAACAACGCATCCCTGACATTATTAGTTATTACAAGTTTATATTGTGTATCAAAAATCCCAAAACTTACTTTGACTTGACATCCTCTTGAGAATGTCCTAGCATTGGAGTTTTATCAGAGACATCGAAGGTTGAGATTTTAAATTTTGAATCGTCCGTTAAACGATTTGTACCCATTTTATCAAAAATACGATTCCCGAATGAAAAACTAGCTAATTATTGACATGAAAACAAATAATTATTAAGAAATATACTATAATTTTGACTAGACTAAGATGTTTCGAAATCAATAGCGTATAAATCACTAAACCGAGTTCGGTTATAGTACCAATAAGAATTTTCATTTATCTATCTATAATACTTGCTGATAACCATTATTACATGCGTTTCACTTATATTCCAATTAATTATTATACAAAATGTCTAACTAGTGATTCTAATTAAAACTCAGTGTGCAATCGTACTTGATAAGTGATAACTATATTATCTATTCGGTTTTTGAATTTGCCAACGATGATCTTATGTATATTATAAAAAAAAAAAAAATCAAATATCAGTAATTCTTATTAAGCTCAATGGATATTATTCCACTTAGATAAATTTGAACAATGAATTTAGACATTATATTTGATAAGACCAAAATTTTGATAAATATAATATGAATATGTATTTCGATACTTAATTTCATTTCCAACCCGTGATTGAAATAGCATAAATATAAATCGGTTAGACTTATGAATCCTTATTCAATTTGTAGTTGTGAAAATGTTATTTACTTTCAATAATTAAAAAAATAAATATATATATATTAAATTTTGGTTTATTTATTTATTTATTTATTTATTTGTTGAATGTTTATTTCAGTAATTTTGATTGGACGAACAATTTTTATTATTTTCAATAGGACTTGTTGACTAACTTGAGTCGTAAAAAAATTGAAGTCACGAATAAAAGTTGCGTGTAAAAGAAAGCCGGGAATTGTTGATTTTACGTTTTTACGTGAAATATGCATTGTATACTATATTTGATGGATATACAAACATTTTTTAACGCATATACTCAAAAACCAAAACGGTCCTTTTTACTTAAAAAAAAAAAAAAAATAAAAGTAATTTTATTGTAACACTTTCAAAATGTATTTTAGTTGGTATATACATAACCCATGTTATACAAATTAGCAATATTATATAGGACAGTAAATACTGATAAAACGTTTCAAATATAGTTTAAATACAAAGTTTATAAACGTTATACTTAGACCACTTACTTATCGTCCGTCGGAACAAAAAAAATATTAAAAAAAAAAATAAACATAAAATAAAATGATAAATATATCAAGAAAATTTAACATTTTATACTTTTTATCGTTACATTATTATTTTATCCTTATACTGATTAAAACATTATAGTGTTAGAATTTAATATTTTATTTAATTTTTCATATCCTATTTTCCGACTTTCTCTTTCTAAAATGTTGATGAAATCAATTTACTTGTAAGTACACATTATGATATAATTTAAATGTTTTCAAGAAAACGATAAATTTAGGAACTCAATTTATGATATTTCTTACATAAATTTTTAAACCAGTTTTTTATATTATACATATTATAATGTAATATTTATATTTTCAATTAATAAAAATAAACAAATATTTTTAATTTTTATTTACATTCATACATAAGTTCTAATAAAATAAAATTGATCAAATCTAACTTCGTTTATAAGCGTATAATCCAGAATATAAATGTATACTTACAATAATGAGGGATAAGTTATGATAATGGATATAGTTTTATTCTAAATTAATAAACATATTAAGACTTACAGAGACGGTTTAAATATTTACATCTTACTGGGGAAGTATCATTTAAACCAACCCACCTACCCTGAAAAAATTGTTCTGGTTTCCTTTTTATTACATTAAAACTACTTAAACGCTAAAACATAAATTATGTATCTCTTAATATGTTCATAAATAGGTATGCCTGCTAAATTTTAATTTATTGAATCAAAATGCAAAATGTAAATAAAAAATGTTTTTACTGGGGCACCGCCCCGGTAGTAAATGCATACAAGCTGCCTCTGAAAATGTTATTATACGAACGTACTTTTGTGAAATATCGCGTGATCGTCCATAGAGCTGCATACTGCCAAATCCGTCAATGTGACAAATTTATCAAAATAATAATAGGCAATAGGTGATTCAATTTTAATTTATAGTTAAGGAAGTTTAATATGTACAACTATATAGGTAAGATATATAGCACACCAAATAAGAATAAATTATGAGCAATTGTTGAATCTATTTGAATATATATGCGATAGGACGGTGGAACACTTCAAATTTATGGAACACTTTTGATAGAGACAATATATATGGGTTGTTATTGTATGCGATTTTATTAAATTAAAAAGCAAATAAAGCTAAAACTATAAAATTGATTATTTAATCTTTACTGAAAGGTCGAATAAAAAATTAAAATAAATGCTTAAACAATAAAAATCTAGAAACAATTTTATCTTTATATGATGGTCACTTTAACTTAGGTACTTATATAACTAAAGACAAAACTGTGAACTAATACCATAGGATTTATTTTCTGAATAAACAATACTAATGATACATTGAAATACAAAAAAACTGAAGCACGAATATAGCTTTAATTATTAAGACAATTGTTTTAACAACTTATAAATATTTAACAAACATATGTTATGTCTTGGTAATCATAAATATCCCTATAATAAACTTCAGTCGACACAATTTAAGAATTTTTTACAAAAATATGTTAATCAGAATAAAGACTATAAAACTAGACTAAATCCAGACTAAAGAACATTATGAAAAAATTGCTTATACATATGTTTTGTATCTACTTTTATAAAACTAAGAAAAAATTAAACAACAATTTAATAAACATTATAGTAAATGAAACGACTGATTCTAGAACAGGCGAAGATCCAAGGGGGGTTAAGATATTTTAGGCCCGCATGTAGACGTGTTATATATTATGTAAGTATGTAATTAATACTTTAATAGAATATTCATTAAAAATTAGTCAAAAAACGAATGAAAATTAATTTTTCATATTTTATAATTTTTTATTTTTTTTTTCATTTATTATTATTATTTTTTTTTATTATTATTTATTTATTTTTTTTTTTTTTTATTATGTTTCAGCACATTATGTAATATTACAATTACAATAACAATAAATTGGTTTATTTTTATATTTATATAATAATAATAATAATAATAATAATGACGAATGTACTGTTCATATTCTGGTGAGAGTTCCTTAGTATTCGTTAGGAAGATGTCTTGGGACAGTCGAGGTCGCAGTTATCTAATATGGGATTTACTTCCTATTTGATAACAGCGGGCTCCGTCTGAGTCTTTCAGCTTAACGTGAACATTTTTAAATGGAGTTGTTATCCAGGTATTTAATAGGAATATTCCAGTGTCATTGTAAATCTAATGGTTCATCATAAACCATGGTGCTTTTTGGCATATCCTAAGGAATTTATTTGAAGAGTGTAATTTTTTTTTAATTTTAGTAGGTGAGGCTGCTGCCCAAACGAGGCAGGCGTACAGGTGGTCTGATTATTGAGGTATATAGAAGAAGATATGCTTTTATTTGAAGCGTTTATTTATAGTTGACTAAAGGGTAGAGAATTCTCATTCTTGTACAGCTCTGTACAAGTTTCTTGTTTATATGAATGTTCCAAGTGAATTTTTCATCAAGATGAACACTTAAGCATTTGACTGAGTCGTTCTTTTTAATCCATTGGATGACCTGGTTATTTATTTAAATGTTTTTGGGGTTGATATACCTTTTTAGGGTGCATATTTTAACCTACCTTATTTTATCATTTTAAAATATATTATAATTATTATACATATTTATTTACTAAAATTATATGTTTTGTCTTTCAGTAAATATAAATTAGCCCCCCCCCCCCATATTATATATCTTGATCCACCCTGGTTCTAGAGTGTTATACATTTGTAGCTTAATTGTTGGGGTACATTATTTGAAAATCATACCTAATATTCTCGATTTGTGAATAATAGTTTAACGACATTTTTTGGTGATCGTAATTTCAAGACAAAATTCTGCTGTTTATTAGTGATGTCGCACCATATTTGATAAACACATTCGTATCAACTGACAAATTCAATTACAAAACTCGAAAAATAAAATTGTTCTTTAAACTACCATAGATATAGTTGAAACAGTAAAGCATGGACTTAAGAAAAATTTGAATGAAATGGGTTAAATACTCTATGAAAAATTCAAATCAGTTTTTTTTTTAAAATTCCGAATACAATATTTTAAAACTGTATAACGATTTAATAAATGAAAATTACATTAATGTAAAAGAAGATCCTGGTATCGTAAACTGCTACAAACAATACCTGATAAAAAATATCAATGTAGAACGTGTGTTTTCACAATTAAAAAACATATTAAGTGACAGAAGATATAATAAAAAAAAAAAACAGAAACTTAGTTATGTATAAAATTATATATTTTTATCGAGTATTGTAAATCAGTTTAAATTTTATAACACTTAGGTAATAGTTAATGCCAACTAATAAGTAGTAATATTATAAAAAATAAATAGTAATTTTTTTTTTAAAAAAAAATTTAAAATAACTAAAATGTATTATATAGTTCATAATATAAATTTGCTTTTACATTTCAAAATTTTAATTGCACATTTTTTAAGTGCTCAAATCATAAACATGCGCTCTTATAAATCGATTGAAAAATGGAGGCTGATGATAACGAATCAAAAATATTTTGAAACATTTTTGTAGTTTAAAAAACGATTATAAAAAATATTTATATCCTTTTGGTTCTTGTCATTGTTTAAGGAGTTGTGTTTAGTTATCCTGATGATAACAATGGAAACTTGTTTTATTGTTCGAACATCAGTTTTGTGTTTAATGTCATAATTTTCAATCAACTTTGACCATTTCAACGCAGAACACGTGTTTCTTCACATTGGATAAAGTAATTTTGTGCAACTTATAAAAACGATAAGATTAAAAAAGATCAATAATTCACTTATACCAGTCGAAGAGATACAACAATTATAAGATTGTTTCAGTAGGACATTATCATCCACGTATTTTAAGTGATGAATAATTATAGTCATATGCATTTGAGTTAGAAATAAAATACAGATAATAATTAAGTCCTTTTTAAATCATCTAGACAGTCGTAATTTACTACCTAGAGAATCAATAAAGGATTTTCACCAATTAAATGATTTATTATGGACTGAAGAACAAAATAAACTTA